CACCCCTGAGGGGCCCCCGTGTTGAGGATCAGTGTGGCAGATGTGTTGTTACCTACCCTTACCACCTGGGGGCGGCCCGTCAGGAAGTCCAGGATCCAGTTGCAGAGGGAGGTGTTTAGTCCCAGGATCCTTAGCTTAGTGATGAGCTTTGAGGGCACTATGGTGTTGAATGCTGAGCTGTAGTCAATGAATAGCATTCTCACGTAGGTGTTCCTCTTGTCCAGGTGGGAAAGGGCAGTGTGGAGTGCAATAGAGATTGCATCATCTGTGGATCTGTTGGGGCGGTATGCAAATTGGAGTGGGTCTAGGGTTTCTGGGATAATGGTGTTGATGTGAGCAATGACCAGCCTTTCAAAGCACTTCATGGCTACAGACGTCAGTGCTATGGGTCAGTAGTCATTTAGGCAGGTTATCTTAGTGTCCTTGGGCACGGGGACTATGGTGGTCTGCTTGAAACATGTTGGTATTACAGACTCAGTCAGGGATATGTTGAAAATGTCAGTGAAGTCACTTGCCAGTTGGTCAGCACATGCTCGGAGTACACGTCCTGGTAATCCGTCTGGCCCTGCGGCCTTGTGAATGTTGACCTGCTTAAAAGTCTTACTCACATCGGCTACGGAGAGCGTGATCACATAGTCATCCAGAACAGCTGGTGCTCTCATGCATGCTTCAGTGTTGCTTGCCTCGAAGCGAGCATAGAGGTGGTTTAGCTCGTCTGGTAGGCTTGTGTCACTGGGAAGCTCACGGCTGTGCTTCCCTTTGTAGTCTGTAATAGTTTTCAAGCCCTGCCACATCCGACGAGCGTCAGAGCCGGTGTAGTACGATTCAATCTTAGTCCTGTATTGACTCTTTGCCTGTTTGATGGTTCGTCGGAGGGCATAGCGGGATTTCTTATAAGCGTCCGGGTTAGAGTCCCGCTCCTTGAAAGCGGCAGCTCTACCCTTTAGCTCAGTGCGGATGTTTCCTGTAATCCATGGCTTCTGGTTGGGGTATGTACGTACGGTCACTGTGGGGACGACATCATCGATGCACTTATTGATGAAGCCAGTGACTGATGTGGTGTACTCTTCAATGCTATCTGAAGAATCCCGGAACATGTTCCAGTCTGTGCTAGCAAAACAGTCCTGTAGCTTAGCATCTGCGTCATCTGACCACTTTTTTATTAACCGAGTCACTGGTGCTTCCTGCTTTAGTTTTTGCTTATAAGCAGGAATCAGGAGGATAGAGTTATGGTCAGATTTGCCAAATGGAGGGCGAGGGAGAGCTTTGTATGCGTCTCTGTGTGTGGAGTAAAGGTGGTCTAGAGTTTTTTTCCCTCTGGTTGCACATTTAACATGCTGGTAGAAATTAGGTAGAACGGATTTAAGTTTCCCTGCATTAAAGTCCCCGGCCACTAGGAGCGCTGCCTCTGGATGAGCGTTCTCCTGTTGATTTATGGCCTTATACAACTAATTCAGTGCAATCTTAATGCCAGCATTGGTTTGTGGTGGTAAATAGACAGCTATGAAAAATATAGATGAAAACTCTCTTGGTAAATAGTGTGGTCTACAGCTTATCATAACATACTCTACTTCATGCGAGCAAAACCTCGAGACTTCCTTAGTATTTGATTTTGTGCACCAGCTGTTGTTTACAAATATACACAGACCGCCACCCCTTGTCTTACTGGAGTCAGCCGTTCTATCTTGCCGATGTAGCGTATAGCCCGCTAGCTGTATGTTATCCATGTCGTCGTTCAGCCACGACTCGGTGAAACATAAGATATTACAGTTTTTAATGTCCCGTTTGTAGGATAACCGTAATCTTAGGTCATCCAATTTATTTTCCAATGATTGAAGATTGGCTAATAGGATTGATGGGAGCGGCAGTTTACTCGCTCGCCGTCGGATCCTTACAAGGCACCCCGACCTACGTCCACGATATCTCCGTCTCTTCCTCATGCGAATGACAGGGATTTGGGCCTTGTCGGGTGTCTGTAGGATATCCTTCGCGGCTGCCTCGTTGAAGAAAAATTATTCGTCCAATACGAGGTGAGTAATCGCTGTCCTGATCTCCAGAAGCTCTTTTTGGTTATAAGAGACGATGGCAGAAACATTATGTCCAAAATAAATTACAAATAACGCGGAAAAACACACATAATAGTACAATTGGTTAGAGGGCTGTAAAACGGCAGCCATCTTCTCCGGCGCCATTCAAAGATGGGTTTCCATGGCCGAGCAGCCGCACACAAGCCTAAGATCACCATGCGCAATGCCAAGCGTCAGCTGGAGTGGTGTAAAGCTCGCCGCGATTGGACTCTGGAGCAGTAGAAACACATTCTCTGGAGTGATGAATCACGCTTCACCATCTGGCAGTCCGACGGACGAATCTGGGTTTGGCGGATGCCAGGAGAACGCTACCTGCCCCAATGCATAGTGCCAACTGTAAAGTTTGGTGGAGGAGGAATAATGGTCTGGGGCTGTTTTTCATCATTTGGGCTAGGCCCCTTAGTTCCAGTGAAGGGAAATCTTAACGCTACAGCATACAATGACTACCTAGATGATTCTGTGCTTCCAACTTTGTGGCAACAGTTTGGGGAAGGCCCTTTCCTGTTTCAGCATGACAATGCCCCTGTGCACAAAGCGAGCTCCATACAGAAATGGTTTATCGAGAGCGGTGTGGAAGAACTTGACTGGCCTGCATAGAGCCCTGACCTCAACCCCATCGAACACCTTTGGGATGAATTGGAACGCCGACTGTGCCAGGCCTAATCGCCCAACATCAGTGCCCGACCTCACTAACGCTCATGGCTGAATGGAAGCAAGTCCCCGCAGCAAGATTCCAACATCTAGTGGAAAGCCTTCCCAGAAGAGTGGAGGCTGTTATTGCAGCAAAGGGGGGACAAACTCCATATTAATGCCCATGATTTTAGAATAAGATGTTTGACGAGCAGGTGTCCACATACTTTTGGTCATATAGCGTAGCAGTAGCAGCCCTTGAACAGTAAGGCACCACAGCTCCTCACGCCACTTGAACAGTAAGGCACCACAGCTCCTCACGCCACTTGAACAGTAAGGCACCACAGCTCCTCACGCTTGTCAGATTATTGGGAATGGAATTTATATTCTGCTTGTTTGTCAGTTTTTTTGTGACTTCAGAGATCAGATAAAAGCTAAGAGCCTTTCTGTCCTGGTACATTTACCCTCAATCCCTTTCCACTCACTTCAGGAAGAGTTAATAGAGTCAAAGAAGTGTATTTTTTATTTTTAGACTTTGCTACATTTTGCTGATTAACTTTTAAAACAACCGAGCCACTCCTGTGAACATCTCATGTATTTTGTATTGGCTTTTCGTAGGACAGTGCAATCTTCACTTTACAAAGATTATTCACATAAAATGGGTAGGGAGGAGGAAGCTGTGCCCTAGAAGAGGGTTTCCCAAACTCGACCCCCCCCCCCCCACCACCACCAATCGGGTGCATGTGGGGGTTGGGGGGGACCCAGCCCTAAAGAACCATGCAGCTCTGGGGGGGACCCAGCCCTAGAGAACCATGCAGCTCTGGGGGGGACCCAGCCCTAGAGAACCATGCAGCTCAGGGGGGGACCCAGCCCTAGAGAACCATGCAGCTCTGGGATCACTAATACACAAGGCCACTGAGCCAATGACACGCTGCATTAAGAGGAGGGGTGAAGGGATGAGGCACACTCAAACACTGAACACCCCCAGACTGCAATAAACAGATGAAATTTACAGGTCCTGCTCAGGCATATTCTCAGCTAGGATACCGTAGGCTCCACTATCAACCATCAGCCTGACCGGAGAGTAGAGATGAAATCTTAAGGCTCAACACAGCAGGTGTGCCTTGGCCAAACTTTATCTCAGTAACCGTTTGGACCATGTTTTATTGATATGACATGATGATAGAGGACGTGGCTTGGAACCAAATTCCCAAAGAAGTGTTTTAATCTTATCCAACACTAAACAGTTGACCAAAGCCCATGCATTCCTACCTCCCCTGTTCCATTTAATCTGAATCCTAATATTCCTCTAATACCAGCCTTACCCCCATGGCCTCTGTTCTTGCATTGCAGGGGTGAAATGACAACACTGTCTACCATTGTGACAGATGAGGTTTTGCTTCCCAGGTAGATAGGAATAATGGTTGCTGTCTGCCCTCTGGTGGTATGCCTACTTTTTTCACAGTGAGCATTCTCACTTCTGTATTGCCTTCTTGTCTTCTTCATAAATTTGACACTGGAATTGTGTTAATAATCCTGCATTTTGTTTTTATATACAAGTATCAAGGTATATGCAATGCATTACATTTTGATTTTTGTCGGCTATAGCCCTTTAAACTCCATCCAGTCTGAATGTTGCAATTATTATGTCTTAATTTCAGAAGAATTACAGACCACTGTTCAATTATAGGCCTATATGTCACTAATATTGCGTGGACTATCCATAAAAAGGTAGAGTAAAGGTGCGTAGTCATTGACATTTGGTACTTGGGATAGTCCAAAATAGAAATATGGGGTATGGGAGTCTGCGACAATGAATTATATAAGAGTTATTAACATGTAATTTATCTATAAGAATTTTGTAGGCTACACAGTACAATAAAATGCACAATGTATTTAACTTGGTATATAACGGCGTGTTAGAATGTACCAAGTGACAAGGCCTAATACCGGATTTGGACTGTGCAACAACCTTGCCTACACCGGTTTAGGACTGTACATCCGAAGGAGGGTGAATGCTCTGTATGCTCAAAATGCTTACTTATTTTTCACCTGCCTGTAATCTTTTGTCATCGATAATTGCAATTTAATTAGTGTGAAGCATTTGCGTGAATATTCTAGCCTACGTTATTTTAATGAGTAGTTCAGTCATTGGTGAAATACAATGCAAGTTAGGTCAGAGAGAACAATAGCGTCAACCCGGTATTTAAACTGCTGATAAGAAAGACCAAATAACCCCATCTAAAATCGAACCGGTCTTATCTAGACGGACATAGGACGACTATGGCGACGTTAACAAGCCAGGACTCAACCGCTCAAGCGCGGGTTTATTTCCAAACGCCTCCCGGTACCGAGGACACAGAAGTCGTCCAAAAGCAAGGACGGGTAACCGTGAAATACGATAGAAAAGAGCTGAGGAAGCGACTCAATTTGGAGGAGTGGATAATTGAGCAGTTAACGGATTTATATGACTGTGAGGTAGGCAATGACACATTCTATGATTCATTGTGTACAACAGACTTTTCCCCATGACATAGATTATTACAAAAAAAAATTCAATCTTCAATGATCTCTACTTTGATTGGGATTTATGTAGGCTATAGAATTGCAGTAATATTAAAACCTAGGGCAATACAATAATTCAATAATATAAACAATATTTAGTAGGAATTACAGACAAAATGTAGGGTGTGGCCACATCATTGAAATACTGTACTAAACAATTGAAGAAATTAGGTGTCTGCTCAATTAGTGATGGACAGAATGTGCTGTTCCAATACAAAGTGTGCAGCATTCATTGATAAGTAGGCCTTGGCACTGAGCACTATGGCCACTGCACCTGCAAAGCAATTACAGTACAGCCTCTACTCTGTAGGATTATGATATATGACCACTTTAATGTTACAACATGGTAATGCCAGATTGTCTTCAACAAAGGAAATATCATTGACTATGGATAGATATCCCACCCCATCCCCTCTGCTGTTCCATGGAAATGAAGAGGCACATACTGCATGACATGTTTGTGATGTATTCAGCCTGAGCAAGTATGATGTAATCAGTTTCATTAATGACCCCTGGAAACAATAGCTTTTTGTCAACACCCCTCAGAAGAGATATAGGTGTTTTGACACAGTTAACACATGAACTGTTCACATAAAAGGGTTGCAGCAGCACCTATGCATCAGATATGTTATTTGAAACAAAGTGGTCAACATTATAGACTGAGTATTAACATGTAGCACCAGGACATGACACATTATTGCTCTTGTAATGACATTGACCATTACCTATGTCAAATGGTCCTCAAAGAGACCATCTGGGTAAGTAAAGAGCTAATTGGACTAATAATGAGCTTGGCAGGAGCAGAGGGTGGCATATTGTAATTGATCAGCATTTGATTTAGGAAATAGACTCTGGGCCTCAGGCTTGTGCTAGAGTGTGGGGTCTTGAAACTACTCCTTGACCTCGTGAATAGGCTCTTGGGCTGTAGATTATAGTTATGTAAACATCAAAACAATGAACTGGAAACCAGATTTTATTTCTATAGTGATGGCTTCTCCTAAACAGTCATGCTCAATTGAGTAGACAGCAAGGCAGTGGTCAGGAAGTCAGTGCATTGTTATCAGTACACACCACATAGTGGGTTCAGCCCATCCTGTTGTGTTGAGAAGCAGAAGGGGTGGGGGAAGCCAGGGACATTGGGGACCTGTGGAGGATGTTCAGGGGGTGATTAGTTTGATCCTAAGCCTGTCTGATCTATTCACCTGTTTTTTTCCCTCCTCTCCCCCTCCCTGTTGACTTCTCCATTTTCTCTGCTTTTCTGTCTATCACCATCACTCTCTCCCTCCCTCCCTATGCCTCTCGCAGGAGGAGGAGATTCCGGAGTTGGAGATTGACGTGGATGAGCTGTTGGATATGCCCACTGATGGAGACCGGGCCTCCAGGGTCAAGGTGACCATTAAACCCTAATCAATGTTGACTACACATCCATTATTGTCCTTCTGTATTGAGGGATTGAATCCTAACTTGAGGCTGATCGCAAATCTCCCATTGATATCATTACATGATTTACGCAGAAGTTACCCATGTGGATCTGAAGTTAGGATCTGGCTTTGAATTAGGTTAATTTCCTCTTTCACTTCCTTTTGTTTCGCAGGGTTTGTTGGTTGACTGTTACAAACCTACAGATGTAAGTTCAAAATTCTATCAGATTATTCTCTGCTACAGTTAAGCTTTTGTTTAAACCCAGCATTGGGTCAACTGATCCACTGAAACAAAGTAATTACTGTCTGAAACCAACTTCCCATACATTGTTTTGACCAAGTTTCTAGAAAAACATTGTAATACAGTAACATGCATGATAACAGTTGTTCAGTGTCTCACAAAACGTTCCATTGTTCATTTACTGCAGGACTTTGTCACGACTCTCCTAGAGAAGGTTAAAGGTCTGCAGAAACTCAGCACTCCGCCCAAAAAGAATGAAAAATCTCCTCCTTAGCATCAGAATGACCCCAACCTATTACAACTCAGTTCTACACAGGGACACCCAGCTAGAATCCCTCAGCACCTAGAATCCCTCAGCACCTAGAATCCCTCGGAGTCAACAGGATTAATAGAGGGAAGAGGATCGACCAATCACTTACTGTCTCTTTCTTTGTTTAAAACAACTTCTTGTCGATATATAATCATGTTATACATAAACAGTAGTAAGTGATGAGTGTTATAACATAATTAGAAAGTATAGCATTGATAAACTGATTTGTTGACATGAAGGAAGAACATGATAACATTTAACTTGAGCTATACAAGTCACCAGCAAAGCATGACAAAATACATCCATCTTAATGATAGCTCATAGTGAGTCATGACAAGAGGCAACATTATGCAGTCTAACAAATCTAACTCATTGGTTAGTTGATTAGTCAACTTACATTACTGTATAATGACAGCTTGAAATAGTGAACTGTCAATGGTTAGTATTAGCTCGAGCCATGCCATTTTAACTATGAGATTTACAGATCAAGCAAAGTGTTACCGAGAATGGTTTATGTGGGATACGGTAGTTGTCTATGTAATGATTTCAAGCCGAGCACTATCATCTGTCAAATATATTTTTTGAGGTAGCATGAAGGGCTTTTTAACATTTTACACTGGACTAATTGGGGTGATCGTTATACTTTTATGTGTTATACTTTTGACATGAGCAAGTGTGGACAGTATTCAAATACAAAACACCAGCATGCCACACATTAGGTACTGTAATAACCTCAGTAGCCTACGGGTTTTCAGGGTGCAAATACTGTTATTTCATTTTGGGAGTAATGCATGACTGACTATAAAACATAGGAAAACATTAGCAAATAATGGTTAGGCTCGATTGAAATTCATTACATAAACTATCACTACAGTAAATGCTTTTGAGCCCTACCATAACATACGGTTCAACTGTTTTCCTCTCCACATCCTCCACCCTGGTGCCTGAGACTGTGAGGGGTGGGTCTGTTTCTCTCAGACCTGACCCGAGAGTGTAGAAAGGCCTTCGCTTTGTATAGCGTTTCATTTGTTTCTCAAACCAAATATACCTATATCATTCATCGCTGCGAAAGGGATTGGAAAGGCCTTAGAAGACAACAGTGATGATTGTATTGACTATTGTGGATAAAGCAATGTCTTTGAGATGTATGACATTTAGTCCTGGAGTGTAGCCATGTACAATAATCTGGTTTCCATTGTATCCGAGAAGTTTCCTGGATATGCCAATCAACCGTGTATACCATATGACTATCATAACCGTATGTATACCTTACAACCATCATTCCTTAATCTTTTGGACCCCATTGTGATGTTATTTTGGGCAGACTTAACTACCAGATTCAGTGTATCACCTTGAAGACTGAATCAAACCATAAACTGGGTTGCTGCATAAACTTTGAGTGTATCTGCTGGAGGTAGGTGACTGTATTATCTGTGGTGTGTGTGTGTTCAAGATGTGATTGCAAGACTGTAGTCATGTAATGTAGCAATACTTAATGGTGCTGTTTGCCAATTTGTTACATTTTTATTAAAATTCAATAAGTGTTTTACCTACTCTGACTTTTGTCTGTACTTCAGATGTTAATGTAAGGGGGGGGCGGCGGCAGGTAGCCTAGCGGTTAAGAGTGTTGGGCCAGTAACCGAAAGGTTGTTGGTTCGAGTCCCTGAGCAGGCTAGGTGAAAAATCTGCCGACGTGCCCTTGAGCAAGGCACTTAACCCTAATTGCTCCTGTAAGTAAGATAGTCTGCTAAATGACAAATGTAAAGGTACTGTAGCTAAATATCTTCCGGGGGGAAAAAGTCACACTTTGAAAATCCAAATCTTTAATATTTTACTGAAACAAGAACATTGGTCAAGTCTTGTATACCAATGTAGTGAAATTGGAATTCCAAAATGGAAAATCTGTTACAAAGAATCCTTTCAATATAGCCCAAAACCCTATTGAATAGTGCACCATCGCTTATCTTGTGCTACCATATCGCATGTGTGTTATTCAACCTGTTCCTTCAACATGATACGTACCCTGTAAATTACACTTATCAGGCTGGTAAATTACTCCAAATGAGAATGATGATACATTTAAGTCAAAGAGCTAGAGCTGGTCATGGCATAACATTCAGGAAAACATAACACAGGAATGAGGCAAGGAGCAACTTTGAATGCTGAACTAAAAATTATCAAATGTTTAAGGCATTGGAGTTCAAATTCACCAGGGAGTACCACAGTTACATATGATGTTAGTTATAGTTGAATAGTATGTATATTATGCAGGGTCTTCAACTGCTTATAGCACTATACAGTACTCAGTACTATGACTAATGGTAAAGAGAAACGGTCAACCTGTGTGTTGGTCTAGGAGTTATGGTAGGGCACACTGACTTAAAACCAGCACTAACAGGCCGCTTATTTTATTTGAAGTTAATGTTCACTACAAGTCAGACCTCCTCTCGATGCTGAGCAGTTCCACTTCAAAAATGAGAGTGGCACCACCTGTTGGAGAGACAGGGTAGTTACAGCCTAAGATAGTAGAAAGCTCTTCACAATAAAATAATAAGACATGGTTACCTCAGACACTGACTTGTAGAGAAAGTCAGTGGGAGATGTAGAGAATTATCTGAAATACCTGGAATCTTAGGAGGCGCTCCTCTGTCTCCGTATCCTACAAAAGAAGGAATATAAATGGAGAGGTCAGAAAAGTGTGAGGGGTTGGGAAAATGGACTCCAAGGTTTATAGGGCTTTTTATTTTGCATGATAATTGATTGGGTTTATATAACCTACGTTGATAATGCATGCTAGATTTAGTCATCAGTAGAACATGTGGAAGATGTAAGTGACCATTGGAACAGTGTGAAGTATCAGCGTTCAAACTCACCAAGCTCAGAGGGGATGACCAGTTTCCTCTTCTCTCCCTCACACATTCTAAAGAGAGAAAGTGCGATTGATGGATTAAGAACTTCACATGAAGTCAGAAGTCAATTTGTTTTTACACCTTATATCCAAAAGCACATAATTCTATAGTTTTTACACTGTCTGCAAATGTAATACCTCACAAGTCATCCAGTTACATGCATGAGCACACTCAAGTCAACAGGGGGAAAGAAGAAAAGGAAACAGGCACCAACCCGAGCAGGCCCTGGTCCCAGCCTTTGATGACTTGTCCAGTTCCCAGAGTAAAGGTGAAGGGCTGGTTCCTTGGAATGCTGCTGTCAAACTCTGTTCCATCCTCCAGCTTTCCCTGCAGACAAACGCACAGTTATTGACTAAACACACGGTCATTTGTTCAAATGTGTCAATTTCTGATCTCCAATCTATTGTGATGACATTCATTGAATGCGCATTAGATGGAAATAGATGCTGCTTCTAGATATTTTGCTTTTCATTCAGTGTCCAAAAGGAGAAGCATCCTCCTTATTACTCACAGTGTAGTGCATGTTCAGCACATCCCCTTTACGTGACTTGATGGGGCAGTTGTCAACTCTTTTCTTGATGCCAATTTGGAGCTTCTTTTTGTCACCACCACGAACTGCCGGGGCCAAGGACAACAGAGTGACCACAAATAGCAGACACAGCCTCATATCTGGGGAACACGTGAAAGACTTAATGAACGACAAAGTAAGCACAAATCTCATAGGTCGCGATCCCCTAGCCTTGTTCGAACCATCCTGATCTTGTGAGCTTAAATTCTGTTTCGCTGTATCCAGTGTAGCGAAACAAAATGTAAGTTCGCGAGATCAGGATAGTTCATACCTTGTAAGATCTGGCAGGCGTCAGCAACGACTGGACAGTTGAACGCACCCATAGGATTCTATCTGGCTACCTAAGGCAGCTTATTGCCTCGTTCAAAACAACTGGGAACTTGGAAATCTCCGACTTCCGAGCGTTCAAGACAACTGGGAACTCGGAAAAAACTAGTTCCGACAAAGAAATCGTTTTCAACGGTCATCCAACTCGGACATCTTTCTAAACCTCCGACAAGAAGATCACTGGCGTCATGATTTGACATAATTTATTATTTTATTTTCGATTCTCCACCATAGGATTGTTACACGTCATCATCAATGGGCACATGATTATCGGAAGAATAAAATGGAAGCTGTAGTCAGATCTAATTTTGATAGGCCTATAGCTCCAACAAGTTGGGCAAGTTACTTACTTGTCATTATCAAAACACAAACATGTTTAATACAGCAAACTATGGCCCATAATTGTACCGAGCGTATAGATGAATTAGCTCGAACCCGACGGGGGCAAATGTTATCGGTTGTGGCAATTGCTTTAGCTACCCCAACACATGTATTTAGCCTTCATGCATTTCGCTCATAAATATTCGTAACCAATTTCAGATAAAAAAAAAGATGGTTACTTATCAGTTATTTCTCCAAGAAGCTTACCAGCGTTTTAACTGAATTAAACACAGAAGATATTCGGTGTGCTTCAAAATTTTCGGAAGAGGAAATGGAACGACAATGGAATGTCGCGATATGTCTACGCACTGATTTTCTCTCCTGCTATTGGTCGGTTCTCATAGAGCCTGCTGGCAGAGAAAATAGCAGATTTTGAACGTGCCGCCAGGTGGTACCAAAGTGGCGTTCGTGATGGAATGGAAAGCAGACCGCTACATATATTGTAGCTACAGTGTATTAATAACGACAGGAACCCAAACCTTGGAATTATCATTTCACACACACAATTATCTCACACACGCACACGCAAACACAAACACAGGCTATGTAGCTATGCAGGAATGTTTATAATCTATAGCAGCATATTGATTGAAAGTTATCCTGCACACTTTTCCCCTTCTTAGAGATGATCCCTCCGTTAAACTGTAATTACTGCATTCTTTTCCAATAAGGTTTTCCAATAGGGTTCATATGACTCAGACATTGTGAGAGAAAGAGCGAGAAAAGAGAGAGCGAGAGATGAAAGGGACAGAGAGGTGAAGAAACCATTATAAAAAGTTGTCGTTGCCATGCATACCAAAGATATACAGCCTGCCTCATTCTCTCATTCTACATTCTGACTCCATTCCTCCTCTTGTTACCAATGTACTGTCTTTCCTTATGTCTATCATTACTTATTAAGAAAGAAAGAAAGAAATAAGGCTTCCTAAAATAACACTGAAAAACTTATTACACGTATTTGATATATATACATTCTTAACGTGCAGCAGATTATTTTAATTTAGAAAGGACAGTAACTCCACCACCAAAACAAATGCAGTCCTCCTCAACTCTATGTGAAAATCAGAAAATCCTTGTTTTGACTGTTGGGCTATTAGCATTATTCATATTGTTGTGTATGTGGCCTCTGTTTTTGCAAGAGAGCAGAGAGCTGACATGAGAGACAAGCATTTAATAGACTTGGCTTCAGGCTTCCCTCGGGGGAATCCATTAAGTAACCTATTCATTTCTAAATCAGAAGGATGAAAGGGACAATATCCAGGAAACAGACATAACTCTGTTGTAAACACAGACTTATTGAACTATGTTTAATGCTGTGACAGAGTATTGTACGGCACAGTGGCGAGACAAATCCCATCAAAACAGGTCAAGCTACATGACAGCTGCAAGTATCCCACAGACCAGGGATCACAGTGCATTCGGAAAGTATTCAGACCCCTTGACTTTTTCCACATTTTGTTACGTTACAGCCTTATTCTAATATTGATTAAATTGTTTTTTGGCAGCGATTACAGCCTCGAGTCTTCTTGGGTATGACGCTACAAGCTTGGCACTGTATTTGGGGAGTTTCTTCCATTCTTCTCTGCAGATCCTCTCAAGCTCTGTCAGGTTGGATGGGGAGTGTCGCAGCACAGCTATTTTCAGGTCTCTCCAGATATGTTCGATCAGGTTCAAGTCCGGGCTCTGTCTGGGCCACTCAAGGACATTCAGATACTTTTTCCGAAGTCTCTCCTGCGTTGTCTTGTATGTGTGATTAGGGTCATTGTCCTGTTGGAAGATGAACCTTTGCCCAAGTCTAAGGTCCTGAGCATTCTGGAGCAGGTTTTCATCAAGGATCTCTCTGTACTTTGCTCTGTTAATCTTTCCCTTGATCCTGACTAGTCACCCAGTCCCTGCCGCTGAAAAACATTCCCACAGCATGATGCTGCCACCACCATGCTTCACTGTAGGGATGGTGCCAGGTTTCCTCCAGACGTGACGATTGGCATTCAGGCCAAAGAGTTCAATCTTGGTTTCATCAGACCAGATAATCTTGTTTCTCATGGTCTGGGAGTTCTTTAGGTGCCTTTAGGAAAACTCAAAGTGGGCTGTCAAGTGCCTTTTACTGAAGAGTGGCTTCTGTCTGGCCACTCTACCATAAAGGCCTGATTGGTGGAGTGCTGCAGAGATGGTTGTCCTTCTGGAAGGTTCTCCCTTCTCCACAGATGAACTCTGGAGCTCTGTGAGAGTAACCATCAGGTTCTTGGTCACCTCCCTGACCAAGGCCCGATTGCTCAGTTTGCTCAGTTTGGCCCGGCAGCCAGCTCTAGGAAGAGTCTTGGTGGTTCCACATTTCTTTCATTTAAGAATGATGGAGGCCACTGTGTTCTTGGGGACCTTCAATGCTGCAGATATTTTTTGGTACCCTTCCCCAGATCTGTACCTTGACACAATCCTGTCTCGGAGCTCTACGGACAATTCCTTCGATCTCATGGCTTGGTTTTTGCTCTGATATGCACTGTCAACTGTTATCTAGACAGGTGTGTGCCTTTCCAAATCATGTCCAATCAATTGAATTTACCACAGGTGGACTCCAATCAAGTTGTAGAAACATCAAGAATGATCAATGGAAACAGGATGCACCTGAGCTCAATTTCGAAGACTCATACCAAAATGGTCTGAATACTTATAAGGTATTTCAGTTCTTTTTTAATATACATTTTCAAAAATTTATAAAGACCTGTTTTCGCTTTGTCATTATGAAGTATTGTGTGTAGATTTATGAGGAAAACATGTATTTAATCAATTTTAGAATAAGACTGTAACGTAACAAAATGTGGAAAAAGGGAAGGGGTCTGAATACTTTCCGAATGCACTTGCTTGCATATTATGTCAGTATATATAATATAACAACATAATAAATGTTATTTTAAGAACGATTCATAAAGTTCAGAGATTGGATTGAATCAGTATTCAATGGTAGCAAGACATAAGAGACCAGTATGCTCTAATACACTACATTACCAAAAGTATGTGGACACCTGCTCATCGAACATCTCATTCCAAAATCATGGGCATTAATATGGAGTTGGTCCCCCCTTTGCTGCTTTAACAGCCTCCACTTTTCTGGGAAGGCATTCCACTAGAAGTGTGAACATTGCTGCGGGGACTTGCTTCCATTCAGCCACAAAAGCATTAGTGATTCATGTTGGGTAATTAAGCCTGGCTCGCAATCGGCATTACAATACATCCCAAAGGTGTTCGATGGGGTTGAGGTCAGGGCTCTGTGCAGTCCAGTCAAGTTCTTCCACACCAATCTCGCTTTGTACACAGGGCCATTGTCATGCTAAAACAGGAAAGGGCCTTCCTCAAACTGGTGCCACAACGTTGGAAGCACCGAATCGTCTAGAATGTAATTGTATGCTGTAGCGTTAAGATTTCCCTTCACTGGAACTAAGGAGCCAGAATCATGAAAAACAGCCCCAGACCATTACTCCTCCACCAAACTTTACAGTTGGCACTATGTATTGGGGCAGGTAGCGTTCTCCTGGCATGTCCGTCGCACTGCCCGATGGTTAGGCGTGATTAATCACTCCAGAGAACGCGTTTCCACTGCTCCAGAGTCCAATGACAGCGAGCTTTACACTGAGCTCTTCAGTAAGGCCATTCTAGTACCAATGTTTGTCTATGGAGTTTGCATGACTGTGTGCTTGATTTTATACACCTGTCAGCAACGGGTGTGGCTGAAATAGCCTAATCCACTCATTTTAACGGTTGTCCACATACTTTTGTATATGACAAAAATGTAATGTAATATATACAGTGGGGTATATACAGGTTTTCCTACTTACAAAGCATGTAGAGGTCTGTCATTTTTATCATAGGTACACTTCAACTGTGAGAGACGGAATCTAAAACAAAAATCTAGAAAATCACATTGTATGATTGTAAAGTAATTAATTTGCATTTTATTGCATGACATAAGTATTTGATACATCAGAAAAACAGAACTTAATATTTGGTACAGAAACCTTTGTTTGCAATTACAGAGATCATACTTTTCCTGTAGGTCTTGACCAGGTTTGCACACACTGCAGCAGGGATTTTGGCCCACTCCTCCATACAGACCTTCTCCAGATCCATCAGGTTTCGGGGCTGTCGCTGGGCAATACGGACTTTAAGCTCCCTCCAAAGATTTTCTATTGGGTTCAGGTCTGGAGACTGGCTAGGCCACTCCAGGACCTTGAGATGCTTCTTACGGAGCCACTCCTTAGTTGCCCTGGCTGTGTGTTTCGGGTCGTTGTCATGCTGGAAGACCCAGCCACGACCCATCTTCAATGCTCTTACTGAGGGAAGGAGGTTGTTGGCCAAGATCTCGCGATACATGGCCCCATCCATCCTCCCCTCAATACGGTGCAGTCGTCCTGTCCCCTTTGCAGAAAAGCATCCCCAAAGAATGATGTTTCCACCTCCATGCTTCACGGTTGGGATGGTGTTCTTGGGGTTGTACTCATCCTTCTTCTTCCTCCAAACACGGCGAGTGGAGTAGATTCCGTCTCTCACAGTTGAAGTGTACCTATGATACAAATTACAGACCTTTACATGCTTTGTAAGTAGGAAAACCAGCAAAATCGGCAGTGTATCAAATACTTGTTCTCCCCACTGTATTAGTGTATCTATCGGCCTGTTGGGGTATTTATCAATTTTCTTTCTCAAAGAAAAAACAAGCAGGGAATTTATGATGGTAGTTAAGCTTTATGAATAACTTTCCTGGTGAATAATTACAAGTCTGGGATTGGAGGACTGTTTGAAAGTCAGTGAAATAGGGCAGAGAAACAGCACGTCTCCAGCTCCGTTGGTGATGTTGTTCATTAAGAGTCATGCATTTAGGTAGTTTGTTTTTTAGGCAATTGCACAAAGTGGAATATTTACAATGACAAATTCACATAGGCATGTGTTTACATTGTCTGACAGAAGCCCTATGTTTCTAGAATCTAAAATATCCCGTGGCAAAGTTCTGTGTATCAAAGTATCAAAGCCATGCTCCAATCAGACCAATTTTATGAACTGAACTAAATGACTATCCCCCAGTAGCACTCACTTCTGTCATCATGAAGTGCTTTGAGAGGCTAGTCAAAGACCATATCACCTCCACCTTACCAGACACCCTAGACCTACCACAATTTGCATATCGCCCCAACAGGTCAACGGACGACGCAATCGCTTCCACCTGGTACTCAAATCAAATCACATTTTATTTGCCACATGTGCTGAATACAACAGGTGTAGACCTTACAGTGAAATGCTTACTTATTATTACATTTGTTTACATCCCTGTTAGTGAGCATTTCTCCTTTGCCAAGATAATCCATCCACCTGACAGGTGTGGCATATCAAGAAGCTGATTAAACAGCATGATCATTACACAGGTCCACCTTGTGCTGGGGACAATAAAAGCCCACTCTAAAATGTGCAGTTTTGTCACACAACACAATTCCACAGATGTCTCAAGTTTTGACGGAGTGTGCAATTGGCATGCTGACAGCAGGAATGTCCACCAGACCTGTTGCCAGAGAATTGAATGTTCATTTCCCTACCATAAGCCGCCTCCAACATCATTTTAGAGAATTTGGCAGTACGTCCAACCGGCCTCACAACCGCAGACCACATGTAACCACGCCAGCCCAGGACCTCCACATCCGGCTTTTGTCACGTGCAGGATCGTCTGACACCTGCCACCCAGACAGCTGATGAAACTGAGGAGTCAATCTGATTGGTTGGGCCTGGCTCCCCAGTGGGTGGGCCTGGGAGGGAATAGGCCCACCCACTGGGGAGCCAGGCCCTGCCCAGTCATGTAAAATCCATAGATTAGGGCCTAATTAATTAATTTGATTTCCTTATATGAACTGTAACTCAGTAAAATCATTGAAATTGTTGCATGTTGCGTTTACATTTTTGTTCAGTATATATTACGGACTCTGACATCGCTCGTTCTGATATTTCTTTATTTTTTAATTATTGGAATTATTATTTGTGTATTAGCATTGTACTGTTAGACATTTACTGCACTGCTGGAGCTAGAAAAACAAGCATTTCACTGCCCTGCTTTAACATCTGCTAATCTGTGTATGGACTAATAAACGTTGATTTGATAAACACTTCTAACTCTCCCACTCCTGGACAAATCTCAGCTCTCTGCACCAATGTGCCATTTTTCTTCTCTAATGAAACCTGGGCTTCATTTCATTAACAACAACAGACTAAACACTTTGAGGTGGTATTGGGCTAATGAATTGATTGATTTAAAAAAATGAAGAATACTGATGCCAGTTAAGTACTTGACCTCATTCTGTGGGAAGACAACCCTTCACTGTGTCCTTCACCGCCAGTGTTCTGTCGCACTGGTAGTGTACACTAGCCCCCGGTGAACCCCCCTGTCACAGCAAGCTCACAAGCTACTAATCAGCACAAATGAAGGGGATAATGACCAAACAAAACAGAGGGGAGAGGACCACCTATCATATTAGCTTTGTTACTAAGACGGAGAGCCCGAGCCGCACCTGTATAAACTAATTATGTCGCTGATATGTTCTGCAAAAGAGGGAGGAGGGCAGAGTGAGCCTAGCTGATGGAGAGAAGCCAGGGGGAAAAGGAGCAGACTGAGAGATGAGATGTCAGATACATTAGGACTGAATGAAGGGGAAAGGGGGGGAATGACACTGAATCAAACATCTATGACAGACTGCCACAAAGGCATATTTCTCATATCAAGGAAGCACCGACTCTCATGATGAGGTATGATTATCTCTGGGGTAAACTCCCTCCTCCTTAAAAATATACTATTTGAAACACAGCCATTTCGCATGCACTTTACAACCCATCTACATCTAAGTGAGCAAGAAGGACTCCCCGTCTCTTCTGTCTAGTCATTCAGCCTCCTACATTGCCTCAGCTCCCACCGTCCCTGCACATCAAACCATCACATGGTCATGTTCAGCACCCACAGGTACCCTGGTGCAGACGGAGCCATCAATCAACGCCTGTAAACGACACACCACCACTTCTCCAAAAGAGCATATGGCAGCTCTCAGGCCCATCATCCATCACTGCAGTAATATCATAGACTAATAGTACGCTACTGAAACTGCGAGGCTGTGTAAACGCATGAATTGCAGACTTTAGAAAAGATTAAGTGTAACTGGGTGCAACTATTGACTTAGAATGTCAAAATTATTAACATTGCGGCATGCGAACGAATGGACAAAAACACACAAGTTGTCCTCATATCTACCAATTTGTATCCATTAAGGGATTACTCTATTGGCAATCGATCAATGTGCTCCATCTGGTTTGGTGGATTAGGGCTGTTCCTGTACGTTTCCATTAGAGTGGGTATTATCAACTATCAATCACCTGCCCTTTTCACCCCTATAAATTCATCTGTAAATGTATTATACCTTTCGACTCACAAATTGTCACAATGATTGAATTGTTTATGGAGATGTGCTTATTTGTCTGCCATGTTGATTATTTCACGCTACTCTTCTTTAGAAGAATAGATTTCCTTGAACTGAGCCTCACACTGTAGGTCTCAGATGCACCACTACACACAAGCTCTATTATCAAAACATTAAAATGACAAAGAGCGAGGCAACTCTGTTTGTATGCCCTTTTAATTTATTTAAAAGTTGTCACATTAAAAAGAACATGAGGTTATACTGAATTAGTATTTCCATATCTTAAAACTGATGTTATTAAAAACAGACAAGACTTCAGACAAAAATGTCATGGAAGGATGAGATAACAAATGCCACATAAATCCCCATCCCCAGAAAGAGTCTAGAATACAAATGACATTGCCATTCCACATAACGGTAGTAATGTTAATGCTTACAAATACAGGTAACTGCCAAAATAACTGAAACACTTGAGTAAATGAGGGATACAAACTATATTAAAAGCAGGTGCTTCCACACAGGCGTGGTATTTGAGTTAATTAAGCAATTAACATCCCATCATGCTGGTGGGCAGGCCATTATTTTGGCTCCCATGGCTATGCCCCCATAGGATGACAATGACCCTATCCACAGGGCACGAGTGTTCACTGAATGGTTTGATGAGCATGAAAACGATGTAAACCATATGCCATGGCCGTCTCAGTCACCAGATCTCAAGCCAATTGTACATTTATGGAGATTCTGGAGTGGTGCCTGAGAAAGCGTATTCTGCCACCATCAACAAAACACAAAATGATGGAATTTCTCGTGGAAGAATGGTGTCGCATCCCTCCAACAGAGTTCCAGACAATTGTAGAATCTATGCCAAGGTACATTGAAGCTGTTCTGGCTCATGGTGGCACAACGCCCTATTAAGACACTTTATGTTAGTGTTTCGTTTATTTTGGCAGTTACCTGTACATCTACGTATAAAGCCCACTAATATTTGTTTTTCCTATATATAGTCTCCCCTTTGCCTTAAAAAACCGCTCCCATGTTGCTCGTAAGTTAACATGCTAAATTGTTGTATTAGCAGGCTTAAGTCCTATGTTTCACATACAGGCATTATAAGAGTCTAAGAAACATCGAATTAATGGTTTGATACAACACCGTTTTTATTAAACAATTCTAAGAGAGGAGAAAATGTGACTAGTATTTTCATAGATCAATTTTTTTTTACTCATGACAACAGTTTTTTGATGAGTCAAAATCTTAAACCAATCAATAACATCTCATTTTACTTTGTACTGCATTCCATAACCAACGCTGATGATCATCAACACACTCACCACAGATGTAAACAGTCACACTGAGTGGTTACCATGACAGTTGTGACAGAATGAGAATCTGTAAACATTTAATATCCCTCAAGCACACTCAGGCATTGACCAGCATGTACTGTAAGGTCATGCCATATACGGCAATAACATTCAAATATAGTCTAACTTTTACTCTCCACACTAAGAAAAACAATTTTAAATTGGCCCCAATTACTAAACAAACCCCTTAGTAATCTACTAGCACAGATGGGGCACATTAAACTACCCATACAATCTATACATCTAACCAGATTCCAGTCTGTCCCAATGAGTACCAGAACAAATATGTCCAGTTCAGTATGATTCATTTCTATGTTTGCCAAAATATCAAGTTGCCAAAATATCAAAAGACTATCAATATCAAGTATGTTTGCATTTATGTACAAAGCAAGGCAGTTGGTCAGAAAAAGAATGGTCTTTTAGGTTTCATGTCTAAAATAACAGTTTTGGTCAACTGAGCCACTTGTGCTTCAATAAGACATAAGCGCTTTTGAATGCAAAGGAAATTTACAGGAAAAGCTTGTTTAATTTTGAAACGGGTTGGGAAAAATGAGTGAAAGTAACGCAAATGATGAGTGAACACATGTATCGAGAGCAGATGCTTAAAACATCTTTAACCTGTCAACGTAGTGAGATGGAGGCTGGAAGGAAGAGTGAGGAACGGAACACTTATTATGCTTGAACAGCTATTTATATTTATCATTACATTTATAATTTTTCTGTTTAGACATATCAAATTATGAAAATCATGGTGGGTGATTCTCATACAGGGATGGCCCAAAGTGTTCTGTGGAATTTAAAACATGACAACCAAGATGTTACATTACACTAAATACCTGAATGTTAACTGCTTATCAATTGCTTTCTACTTATTTATTGCATCATTCATTTTCATTGGCATAGCCTCAGCAATTTCACTCTTCAGGAAAGCGTTCGAGAATGACGTACATTGATGAACATTCAGATATTAATACGAAATCTTCCAGATTAGTTGGTTAATGATAGTACTTTTCAGTTTCTAAAGTGACAGTGGATTACCGTATATATCACACAAGTGCAAACATCATAGGAAGCTCTCCAACAAGAAAACAAACAAACAAACTAAACATTTGTTCATTCATTGATTAATCACACTATATATATATATATATTTTTTTTCCTGAATTTCAAAAATATATCTCCCTCTTTTCTACAGTTAGACTTGTATTTTTGCATGTGCGACTGGAAGCGCGAAGGTTATGCTCATGTTGATGGTTCCTACTGGTGCCCTGTCCTGTCCTACTCTGTGATCTCCAGGATGAGGTCGTCTCCCTCCAGGCTGCTGTCGGCTTTGACGTAAATCTTGACCACGGTGCCGGAGAGGGGAGAGTTGACCACCATCTCCATCTTCATGGCACTGAGCACACACAGAGGCTGGCCCTTCTCCACCGTCTGGCCCTGCTTCACCTTCATCTCCACCACCTTCCCAGGCATGGGTGCCCCCACCTGGCCACGCACGTCCTTCAGCGCCTTGGGGTGGAAGTGCATCTCCTGGAGGGGGAGGGGGGGGGGTTACAGGGGGTAGAGAGAGGACGGGTTAGAGAGAGTACACTTGGTGAGCTTGCAGCAACACCCATGTACAGTGGGGGAAAAAAGTATTTAGTCAGCCACCAATTGTGCAAGTTCTCCCACTTAAAAAGATGAGAGAGGCCTGTAATTTTAATCATAGGTACACGTCAACTATGACAGACAAAATGAGGAAAAAAATTTTTTCTCCAGAAAATCACATTGTAGGATTTTTTAATGAATGTATTTGCAAATTATGGTGGAAAATAAGTATTTGGTCAATAACAAAAGTTTCTCAATACTTTGTTATATACCCTTTGTTGGCAATGACACAGGTCAAACGTTTTCTGTAAGTCTTCACAAGGTTTTCACACACTGTTGCTGGTATTTTGGCCCATTCCTCCATGCAGATCTCCTTTAGAGCAGTGATGTTTTGGGGTTGTCGCTGGGCAACACGGACTTTCAATTCCCTCCAAAGATTTTCTATGGGGTTGAGATCTGGAGACTGGCTAGGCCACTCCAGGACCTTGAAATGCTTCTTACGAAGCCACTCCTTCGTTGCCCGGGCGGTGTGTTTGGGATCATTGTCATGCTGAAAGACCCAGCCACGTTTCATCTTCAATGCCCTTGCTGATGGAAGGAGGTTTTCACTCAAAATCTCACGATACATGGCCCCATTCATTCTTTCCTTTACACGGATCAGTCGTCCTGGTCACTTTGCAGAAAAACAGCCCCAAAGCATGATGTTTCCACCCCCATGCTTCACAGTAGGTATGGTGTTCTTTGGATGCAACTCAGCATTCTTTGTCCTCCAAACACGACGAGTTGAGTTTTTACCAAAAAGTTATATTTTGGTTTCATCTGACCATATGACATTCTCCCAATACTCTTCTGGATCATCCAAATGCACTCTAGCAAACTTCAGACGGGCCTGGACATGTACTGGCTTAAGCAGGGGGACACGTCTGGCACTGCAGGATTTGAGTCCCTGGCGGCGTAGTGTGTTACTGATGGTAGGCTTTGTTACTTTGGTCCCAGCTCTCTGCAGGTCATTCACTAGGTCCCCCCGTGTGGTTCTGGGATTTTTGCTCACCGTTCTTGTGATCATTTTGACCCCACGGGGTGAGATCTTGCGTGGAGCCCCAGATCGAGGAAGATTATCAGTGGTCTTGTATGTCTTCCATTTCCTAATAATTGCTCCCACAGTTGATTTCTTCAAACCAAGCTGCTTACCTATTGCAGATTCAGTCTTCCCAGCCTGGTGCAGGTCTACAATTTTGTTTCTGGTGTCCTTTGACAGCTCTTTCGTCTTGGCCATAGTGGAGTTTGGAGTGTGACTGTTTGAGGTTGTGGACAGGTGTCTTTTATACTGATAACAAGTTCAAACAGGTGCCATTAATACAGGTAACGAGTGGAGGACAGAGGAGCCTCTTAAAGAAGAAGTTACAGGTCTGTGAGATCCAGAAATCTTGCTTGTTTGTAGGTGACCAAATACTTATTTTCCACCATAATTTTCAAATAAATTCATAAAAAATCCTACAATGTGATTTTCTGGATTTTTTTTCTCAATTTGTTTGTCATAGTTGACGTGTACCTATGATGAAAATTACAGGCCTCTCATCTTTTTAAGTGGGAGAACTTGCACAATTGGTGGCTGACTAAATACTTTTTCCCCCACTGTATCTATTGAGATATGTATTGGTGTGGATACGATATGCAACTATTGTTACTGGAATAGCTTGAACTTATGTGTTTTAAGCATTGAACGCAACTTTGTGTTAAGTGCTAATGTGAATGCATGTACTCTACCTTCATGGCCACAGTATCCTTGACCAGGACAGATCTGAGCGCTCCATTCAGCTCAAAGAACACCTCCCTCTGGCCAGCCTTGTTGAGATCTCCCAGGGCCAGGGCTTTGATGTGGAGGGTCTTCCCTCGCTCCAACTCCACCTGACAGACACAGGGACACACAGAAAGTGTGACCAGAGGAAAACAGAACATAGGCAAATATATTGCAATCAGTAAGTTCATTTAAAATGAATCACACTCCTCATCCACTTGAAGAATATGACTGAACACAAACGGTGAGACTGACCTCGAACTCCTCAGCGATCTTGGGTCCATCGAGGAACAGGCGTGTGTTGAGGCAGTCCACGGGGCCAAACTGATGGGTGAACTCCTTGAACTCCTGGAACACCTTGGGGTACATGGCTGCTGACATCACATCCTCAGGAGAGATGTCATCTCCGTGCGTCTCTCGCAGCTGTTTCTCTAGGGCCTGGAAGTCCATAGCGGGCAGAGAGGCACCAGGGCGGCCCTCCACACGTGGCATATTCTTCAGCACCTGGGGGCAGAAGTTAGAAGTCAGCCACTAACAGGCCAAAGGGAGCTAGAATGACAGGACGTCAGAGTTATTATAATAAGGGCCTGCTTTTTCACATCAAAGCAGGCCCTTAACTATACCACAGGCTACAAGCAGTGTTTGAACATTACAAGCAAACATGAGTGTAATAATGAACAGAGATAATGCTAGGCATCCGTCAGAAATTAGAAATAGCTGCTCCATAATGGCTGTTCCATTCCTTTGTTATACATGATGTATGCTAAGCAGATGGGCCTTTTTATGTTTGAAATGATCTGGAAAATAAATTACACAAGTGCCACCATGCGTCCGATGGAAAGTAAAAGCAAGAGGAACTGCATTGTACACTGGTGATGTGAGGAACATATGTGGTCCTAGAAAACAACTGAGCTTCCGGAGAAATGTTTCTGGGTAATTGTGGAGATTCTTAGAGAAGGGGAAATAAATCATATTTCTTCAAATTTGAAACAGATAAAATGGTGTGAGATCTCCAAGGATACTAAAGGGAGAAAAACAGGCAAACTTTTCAAACAAAGTATTTCTATGACTTAAGGGGATCCTGTAGTGGGTTATAAAAACAGCCTTTTCTGAGCTCTATAAAAATACCTAATGTAATGTCAGTGGAACATAATAATATACTCTCAATGTTAAATCCATAGAGTACCAAACCTAATAATGCTTTAATACTGTCTGTGGGAATACAAATCCTGCCATTATGGTTGGCTGTGAAAAGGCAGATATACCCTGAACAAAAATATAAACGCAACAATCAACGATTTTATTGAGTTACAGTTCATAAGGAAATCAGTCAATTCAAATAAATTCATTAGGCCCTAATCTATGGATTTCACATGACTGGGAATACAGATATGCATCTGTTGGTCACAGACACCTTAAATAAATAAAATGTAGGGGCATGGATCAGAAAACCAGTCAGTATCTGGTGTGACCACCATTTGCCTCATGCATCTCCTTGAGATAGACTTGATCAGGCTGTTGATTGTGGCCTGTGGAATGTTGTCCCACTCCTCTTTAAATGGCTGTGTGAAGTTGCTGGATATTGGCGGGAACTGGAACACGCTGTCGTGCACGTCGATCCAGAGCATCCCAAACATGCTCAATGGGTGACGTCTGGTGAGAAACGCAGGCCATGGAAGACCTGGGAAATGTTCAGCTTCCAGGAATTGTGTACAGATCCTTGCACATGGGGCCGTGCATTATCATGCTGAAACATGGCGGCGGATTAAATGGCACGACAATGGGCCTCATACTATGATGAGATCCTCTCTGTGCATTTAAATTGCCATCGATAATATGCAATTGTGTTCATTGTCTGTAGCTTATGCCTGCCCATACCATAACCCCCACCACCACAGGGCACTCTGTTCACAATGTTGACATCAGCAAACCGTCTGCCCGGTACAGTTGAAACCATCATTCATCCGTGAAGAGCACACTTCTCCAGCGTGCCAGTAGCCATCGAAGGTGAGCATTTGCCCACTGAAGTCATTTATGATGGCGAACTGCAGTCCTGGTGCGACGAGCACACAGATGAGCTTCCCTGAGACTGTTTCTGACAGTTTGTGAAGAAATTCTTCGGTTGTTCAAACCCACAGTTTCATCAGCTGTCTCGGTGGCTGATCTCAGACGATCCTGCAGGTGAAGAAGCCAGATGTGGAGGTCCTGGGCTGGTGTGGTTACACGTGGTCTGCAGTTGTGAGGACGGTTGGACGTACTGCCAACCGGCCTCTAAAATGACATTGGAGGCGGCTTATGGTGGAGAAATTAACATTCAATTCTCTGGCAACAGCTCTGGTGGACATTCCTGCAGTAAGCATGGCAATTGCACGCTACCTCAAAACTTGAGACATCTGTGGCATTGTGTTGTGACAAAACTGCACATTTTACAGTGGCCTTTTATTGTCCCCGGCACAAGGTGCACCTGTGTAATGATCATGCAGTTTAATTAGCTTCTTGATATGCCACACCTGTAAGGTGGATGGATTATCTTGGCAAAGGAGAAATTCTCACTAACAGGGATGTAAACAAATTTGTGATCAACATTTGAGAGAAATAAGCTTTTTTGTGCATATGAAAAATGTCTGGGCTCTTTTATTTCGGCTCATGAAACAAGGGACCAACACTTTACATGTTGCATTTACATTTTTGTTCAGTGTAGAATACATGTTCTCCATACTCAGACCGTACCCATTCTACCCATTCCCAAGGGCAAGCTATTGATAAGTCAAAGAGCCGCAGCTGCCCAATGAGAGATGCAGATTTGGGATGCACTGTTTAATTGAAAGAATCATTCCAGCAACGTGTTAAAAACAATTTTGTTGGGCGCTGAAAAGAACTTGGGCCTAAAGGAAGTTAGACCTATTGGGAATTTGTGAAGTGTGTGGAGTGTGTTTTACCTTGGACCTGAAGGGCTCAGGGAAGCCTCCGTGTGGAATGCCAATATGACCCTGCAGGAACTCCACCACAGAGAGGGGGAAGGAGAGCTCGTCAGCCCTCTCCTCCACCTCCGCCCTCGTCAGAGAGTTCTGCACCATGAACTGGGCCAGGTCACCCACGATCTTAGAGGAGGGGGTCACCTGCAGGCAGGCAGGCACAGAGTGGGAAGAGTAGAGGTGGAGAGAGATGAAAGATTTTATCCTCAACATTACTGGTGCTACAGCCCATCTGTCATAGACTATTGTGTTTCACCATTGGAAATTCAATCTGGCGTGCAAATTGGAAGTGAACAGAAGTGTGGTGGAGTCAAGAAGGGAGACAGAGAGGGGACCTTTTTTTAGCAAAAACATTTTTTTGCAGCCAACTGACTGTAGGAACAGTGAGAAGACAAGACAACGGAAGGGGGTAGAATGAATAATGAAAGTGAAGTGAGCGTGTCCACTATTGAACAGACACTGATTCACTGTGCCTGTGATATGGACAATATGCGACAGCGAGGAGAAGAACAGAAAGTCAACTATCTCTGATCATTTAATTAAGCCCTAGGAAATGAAAACCAGCAAGGCAAAACCAAACGCTAGAAGATGCCATTGATTGGAGAGATCAGACAGAAGCATGGAGAACAGAACAGATAAGCTTTGCTCAAAGCTCCTTGGTTGATCTGACTTTAGGCTGCAGCGAGATTAATGGCTGCACTTTCTGCCAACGTATTCCCATTTTGTTTTTATTTTATCTTTGAGACAGAAGAGCCTCCCTCCCACACATACGTAGTTGAGAGAGAGTGAAAGGAGGAAGGTGAGTTAACAAACTGAGTGGGCAATTCATTCTGAAGTTCTCTTCAAATCAGAAGAATACTTTTGTAAATCCGCCTTCAGAGCGATAATTATAAATCTGCAAAGACAATTTGTGAATCAGGAATGTGAGTTTTATCACTTAATTTGAATTGCTGAAAATGAGGCCAGTGTTAAGGACGCCAGGTGTCCGGTCGTCTCACCTTGATGATGTCACCCAGCAGCTTGTTGGCCTCTGTGTAGGACTTCTTCACCTCCTTGAACTTGTGTCCCAGGCCCATGCTGTGAGCCTGGAAGTGCAGGTTGGTGTACTGGCCCCCAGGGATCTCGTTCTCATACACGTCAGCATTGCCAGACTTCATAGTGGCTGTACAGTCAAACGGTGCATAGAGCCCGCGAGCAACCTCCCAGTACTCACTGTAGTCATAGACATTCTCCAGGGATATGCCTGTCAAAGAGAGGGCAGGAGAGAGAATAATGCCCCAGAGGTATCAGGGATAGATCTATAGGCATAAATACAATTTAATATTAACCATGTTAAACGTGTTGTGTTCATCTACTGTGTGGGAGGCATGCCAGAGAATACTTTAAAGTGTATCAGTGTGGTACTCGCGACTTAGGCGTTCACTGGCTTCCAAAGCAGGAACACTCAGTCAGTCAGTCAATGCACACCTCTGCTGCCAATACATTGAACACTCATTTAAACCTGATGTCCTATCATGTTGCTGTAATTACAATTAGCTCCATGCTTCACCTGGCAACAAACACACACAGGCCACAAATTCTCCCCAACCTATACATCTCAGAGACCACCGTATTTTAAGCTTTGATATCAATCTGAAGCTTCCCACTCCCTCATCCATACACATCTGTTGGCACATATCCATCAGCATGAGAGGAGGCAATTGAAAAGAAAGAATGTGAGGGAATGAGCGAGAGCTTGACATTGACCACATTTCCTGTCCCTCCGGACTAGAGCTGACTTAAAGATGATCTACACGCATCAAGGGAGAGAACAAGGGACCTTTGCCAGAGGGGAGCTCCCAATGCAGATGAAAGATGGATGATAGAAAGATTAAAGAAGTTAAGAGCTCAGAAGTAATTTAAGAGCAAGAGAATGTGGATGAGAAGAGGGGATCATGGTGAAAAAGAGCAAGACTAAATGAGGCACTTGAGGATTTTCTGTAAACAATTACCAATAGTTAGGATTAAGAAACAAGTCAATCCAATAAATATGAACAAATGGGACCAAGGCAGTAAAAAATGAGGGTTAAGTGCCTTGCTCAAGGGCACCGACAGATTTTTCACCTCGTCGGCTCGGGTATTCGAACCAGCGACCTTTCGTAGCAGACCAGAGAGCGCTTAGACAAGTAAGAGAGAGTACTAGTGGGAAGAACTACAAATTAGAGCAGTTTTATCATCCTGAATACCCAAAGTAGTATTTGGAATGAATCTGGAAGTTATTTTACAATAAATGGATAGAAACTGTACTGCACATACTGCACTATGGCGCAACATTTCAAAGGGAGAAGGGAATAAGACTAATTTGCTTGACATTTCAATTACCCAGGCAGCCTTCTACTCCGTGAGAAGGAGCAGGAGAGAGAGAGAGATTGGTAGACGTCACGTAAATAAACCAAATCAACAAAGAAAATAACATGTATTTTTCTCAGAATTTGAGCATTCTGATGGGTTTAAAACTGCTCAACGAGAGCACAATCATATACACACTCTAACAGGAAATCTAGTTGTGCTTTGGTGTCCTTGAACAGTAATTATCGTAATGAGAGAATTTGGAGACCATAGAGGCACGTGTTTTGAAATGGAAAATTGGAATAAGCTAAAGAAAGATGCTAAATTGCACCTCTAGGCCGTCTACGCTTTCATCGACTCGCATCCAACAAAACAATTTCTGGGTTATAATCATTTTGAAAACTACTCAATTTCACACCATGGATTGTCTTTAGAATAATCTCGCAGAGTCCTGCCACATTTCATTTTCTAAAGAGGACATTTCCTTTAATAAAAACTAGATAACGGGATCAGAATGAGAAACAATGAACTGGCTGTTAAGTGCTCACTTGTGCTCAGGTAGCGTAATATTCCCCAATAGTATGCCAGTACATGGTCAAGTCATTTCAGAGCAGCTGCTACCTCCATTCTCCTCATGACTAATTAATTATTGATGGAGTCTCATATTCTCAAGTGTTGTTCAATTCTAAACAAACAGCAACTCCATTATTTCATTTGCTGCCACTATGTTTCAGGTGGCCTACGATAAGGCTCTAATTAAGGGTTTACAAGCAGCTAATCAAAGCCTGATTCATTGTGTACAAAATAGAGTTATTAAGCCATTTTATGGCTGTTGTAGGAGGGATTAAGATGCTCATCAATTGTGAGAATATTCCAGAGGGTTTCTTATTACATCTTCTACTCTTTGTTCATCTAACCAATATGAATGAAAGAACAGCCCTTCAACCTTGTCCTCCATCTTTCATGAATCAAAGCACACTGTAACCGTCAGAGTCATGAGTGGTGGCAGGGTGATAACACTAGCCTGCTGTTGAATGGTTCCCTCCTAAATAACAACTCCACACAGGGGCAAAGATCTGGCCTCACAGCCGTTCCCCTAGCAACACGGCTAGCTGCAGCCAGGAAAACTTGGTTCTGACCACATTCCTGTTCCCACGCAGAGACAGCTTTACGGAGCCTTGCAGGCCAGGTCATTACAGTGGGTTAAGACTCGTCTGCTGCAGTAATGTCTCAATTAACTGAAGGTCGCGGGGTTGTCTGTGAGCTGTGAAATGATGGCCATGCGCAGCGACCTTCCTTGTGCCTTTTCTTCCTGCCTTTTCCTCTAGTTCGCGCTCCCTGTTGCCCTCTCTCTCTCCACAACAAACATACTTCATTTTCCCCTTCTTACATTACCGTCTGCACATGTACTGCATCGTCTCCCATGTGTACCATATTCTCTAGGTTATATCCATTAAGGTTGTCTTTGTTTTTTCCGCAACTGCTGAGGTGAAGGGGTTAAGCAGAGTGAAGATGCACTAAGCATCAGCAGAATTCTATTTTCACTAGGATGTTGCAGTCGGTTCTACATTGTGGTGGAAAAAGTACACAATTGTCATACTTGAGTAAATGTAAAAGATACCTTAGAAATGAGAAAGTACTCATTAGAAAATGACTCAAGTACAAGTGAAAGTCACCCAGTAAAATCCTACTTGAGTAAAAGTCTAAAAGTATTTGGTTTTAAACATACTTAAGTATCAAAAGTAAATGTAATTACTTAAATATGCTTAAGTATCAAAAGTTAAACTAAAAGTATAAATCATTTCAGATTCCTTATCTTAAGCAAACCAGACGGCACCATTTTATTTCTACGGTGGTGTAAAATACTAGTACTTTACACCACTGGTTCAACAAACAAATGTTAAAGTGTTATTCAGAGCCATCTAGGCAGAGTAACCTTGGTCACAAACAGAAATGTAATCTTTAAAAGCAGTTGAGGATGTCATATTCAGATCGAGGCGGCAAACAATTTCTACAGCCATATAAAGCTCAAGTCAGAAGCATAATATTGGCGCTCTTACAGTTGGTTTTCCTTGCCATTGTTGAATATAGCATGGTTTCATGGGGCTTAAGGTCTCAGTCTTTTACCTTGTTAAATGCTCCGACATACCAACATATTAATGAAAAAGCTATCAGTGGTTCACTGCTTCCCCACTGTGTGTGTGTGTGTGTGTGTGTGTGTGTGTGTGTGTGTGTACAACTGGTTTGCCATAGAAGAGCTTGGCCAGCAGCTCTATATGTGCTCTTGATTGGTTGGCAGCTCTATATGTGTTTTTGATTGTTCAGCTCACTATATTTCTATTAGCTGGCAGCTCACCTGTGTTGAATTTGGTTCCCTTGGTGCAGGCGACAATGGCTCCCATGCTGGGCTGTGATGTCATCCCAGCCATGGAGTCCACAGCAACGTCTACGATGTCGGCCCCGGCCTCGGCACACGCCAGCATGGAGGCCACGCCGGCGCCTGCCGTATCATGGGTGTGGATGTGGATGGGCATGTCAGGGAAACGGTCCCTCAGAGCACCAATCAGCATCCGGCTAGACTCAGGCTTCAGCAGCCCCGCCATGTCCTACAGGAAGAGAGAGGAGTCAACAACATGACACACTTAGAGTCCTTTCATTTTAGCTATTTATGTCTGACTTGCTGACTTCAAGTTTCTGTTAATAGCGGAATATAAATAAAACATGTCATTGGTTGAGATAAACCACATGACTGGGTTTGATGACAGAGCAGGTTCAGTGCCACTCTACCTTGATGTTCAGTATGTGTGTTCCAGCTCTGACCAGCTCATCAGCCAGTTTCAGGTAGTACTCCAGAGAGTACTTCTGCCTCATGGGGTCAGACACGTCTCCTGTGTAGGAGATGGAGGCCTCCACCACGCCCCCTGCAGCCCCAGCAGCCTCCATACCCAACATCAGGTTAGGCAGGTAGTTCAGAGAGTCAAAAACACGGAAGATGTCCATGCCGTTCTCCTTAGCCACCTCACAGAACCTGGTCAGAACCATTGAAAGATGGATGAGTACATGCTTCAAGTGAAGAGCCCTTGGGTTTAAGGGTGATACTTTCAAGAAATACTATGCAGACGATGACCCTCAAACTGTGAGGGCTGGGGTTGAGACTATATGTGTTCTGGTTGGAATAGGGGTGTCTGATCCAGGGAAGAGGTACTGACTTGAACACAGCGTTGTCGGGGTAGTTGGTGTAGCCCACAGCGTTGGCTCCTCTCAGTAGCATCTGGAAGGGCACGTTGGGCAGCAGAGCTCTCAACTCCTGCAGTCGTTTCCATGGACACTCACACAGGAAACGCATCGCCACATCAAAGGTGGCACCTACTCAGAAGAGGAACGATCAATAACTGCCATAGCAACAGACTCCATTAACGATAAAGTCCATAAACCTAGAGAGTAAATGGACAGATTCCCTGAATAGACTAAATCTCTCCTAGTCCTCCAGAGACGGACAGACTTCCTCCGTAGTCTGATGTCCAGCTCCCTCAACATCAACATGTTTTTGGACACCGTCACAGTAGATTTGCTTCTAAGGGTGCTAAGACTATCTTCTGCGGCTTAGTTTGTAAAAAGTGCTATCCAAATAAAACATGGATTTCATATGTCACTTTGCTAGAGATGAAGAGAGACAGAGCGTTTCTTCAGTCTTTACTTAGAAATGTACCGCCAGTCTGCCCATATCAACTTCAAAAGTGAGCCCCCCTTTTCTTCAGACTTGAAGAGAGGAGAGCCCACTCCTGAATAACCCAGATACAGTACAGTCGACTCACTTGTGCTGCTCAATGATGTGAACCTGGCCCTGGGGCGGTGTCATATTTTCCTTTACCCTAGCAGTTGATTCTATTTGACCTTTCAACTGAAACTGTGACCTTTGAAAACATAACGTCTATAATGATGCCACTGAAACATAGGCAGGCGGCAGATTCGGCCCAGAGTAAAGCACAAAGCGCAGATGAAGATCGAGAGAAGGGTGATTGTAGAACTAAATGAGAATGAGAATAAAGTGAGTACTGGCTACAAGAGATTTCCTCACCTCCCCAGTTCTCCACGCTAAAGAGATTGCTGAAGTTATGGGCCACGAAGGGAGCGATCTGTTTGAGGTCGTGGGTGCGGACGCGGGTGGCCAGGAGAGACTGGTGGGCATCTCTGAAGGTGGTGTCCATGAGCAGCAGACCCTTGTGGGCACGCACCGCCTTGGCAAAGCCCTCTGGACCCTCCTTCAACAGGACGTCACGGAACCCAACCGGAGGCTCACCTAATCCACATCAATGCATGCAGCTTTCACTATGTTGTACTTACTAAATCAAGACTAAATTGACTGCTACAAGAAGAAAACGGATGTTTTACAGGAAGCTGGTAGGATGTTGTGTAGGTTGGAGTCTTACCCAGAGGAATGGGTGGGATCACAGGATCGATAGAGGAGGGCTTGGCCTTCACTGGGATGGGAGTGGTGGGGCCGTTTACCATCACATGACCTGAAACCAGATAGCAGGAGTGGATCAGAAAACCAGAGTTGGCCATCGTAGGCATTTCAAACCTACCAATATCATTATATGTGAGAAAAGCATACTACACTCCAGATAGCATATCTTCAAGTAAAATAATGACTCATAGCAAACGGATGACGTCAGAGAGTTCAATAGAGTCAAGGAAATGATGTACAATACAATACAATACACTCCATGGGTAGGCGATGCTTGAAGAAACAGTTGTGCCGTCAACAGGCTTTAGTTCCAGCCAGGCATGAATTCAACTAACTATCTCACCTCTTGATCTAGGGAGGGGAGCTTTAATTGTTTAATGAATCAAGGATATCATTAGCTGCACTTCAGATTACTGAGTAAGTGATGTCTACATTTCAAATATAATAACCTATACACACACACACAAAAAAACATAGAATTCTGAAACAAACAATGGTTTTAAATGGAGTACAAGCAGAGTTGAAGACAATTTTACCCAGGTAGTGCAGCAGCTTCTGGGCTCGGTTCTGGACCGGCTTGAGGTTGAAGAGCTCCTGGTTCTCATCTATGAACTGGGTGTCAACGGTGCCATACAGGAACTGATCGTTAGTCAGAACATTCTGGAGGAAGGGGATGTTGGTCTGTGCAGAGAAAATAAGGAGGGGGGGAGACATGGAGGAAAGAGGGAGAGATAGCTGTTCAAATGACATAACGGTTGAGAAGACAGTCTGCATGATACATAACACCAGGGACCAAGAGAGAGCAGTGCCTTAAAATGCAAAAACATTACTCAAGTGCAAATCGTCTTGGAGGGCTGTGAGGTCATTCTGTGGTCAGTCCCAAATCAAATGACTTATAAACACTCAATTCCGCCACACTGAGTCCCATCCTCTGTGAGCACTATCAGGCCAAAACACACAGTGCAGAATACACAATGTGATCAGTGAGCAAAACAATCCCAGAATCCCAGCTAATCCTCAACATATTCTATGCATATTCCCCAGGCCCTGCTGCACATTTGTCTCAGGTGCACTGAGGTACACAGAGTGAGAAGCCAAAGCCAGTGAGAGTGAAGAAATGAGACAGAGAGAGCGAGTGAGAATAGAAATGAGTGGGATAGTATAGCCTACTGCTCAAGTCTCAAGATCTTAGTCCATCTCTACCACACAATACAAAACAGCATATAGCCTAGTAAGCCTACACAGAGCCAGAGCTCTGACCCAGATTCCTCTACATGTACTGTAGACTTAATTACAGGGCCCGTATCCACAAAGCATCTCAGAGTAGAAAATTGGTGCTGAGAATTTAGACATTTTACTCCTACTCTTATGGTTATAAATAAAAAAGGTATGCATAAGACTCTTTAGTCATAATTAGGGTTGCAAAGGGAGGGTATTTTACTGGAAACGTTCTAAGTTTACCAGTAAACTACCTGCATTTTGGTAACTTAAGGATTTTTTGTAACTTCACTTTTGGGCACTTCAGATTATTAAGTGTCTGTAATTATCTCTGGATCTCTGTGTGGCCTTATCACGTGTAAAATATATAAAATAATCAAATAAGATGATTTTAAAATAAAATAAATAGAATGACAGCTGTAAAACAAACCTAATTACACAGACTGTACAAAACATTAGAACACCTTCCTAATATTGAGTTGCATCCCCGTTTGCCCTCAGAACAGCCTCAATTCATTTTTTTACATTTGTACATTTTTAGTCATTTAGCAGACGCTCTTATCCAGAGCGACTTACAGTTAGTGCATACATTTTTTTTTTCATACTGGCTCCCTGTGGGAATCAAACCCACAACCCTGGCGTTGCAAACGCCATGCTCTACCAACTGAACTACATCCCTGCCGGCCATTCCCTCCCCTACCCTGGGCCAATTGTGCGCTGCCCCATGGGTCTCCCGGTCGCGGCCAGCTACGACAGAGCCTGGATTCGAACCAGGATCTCTAGTGGCACAGCTAGCACTGCGATGCAGTGCCTTAGACCACTGCGCCACTCGGGGCGTGGACTCCACAGGGATGCTGGCCCATGTTGACTCCAATGCTTCCCACAGTTGTGTCAAGTTGGCTGGATGTCCTTTGGGTGGTGGACCATTCTTGATACACACAAGAAACTGTTGAGCGTGAAAAACCCTGCAGTGTCGCAATTCTTGACAGTCAAACCGGTGCGCCTGGCACCTACTACCATACCCCGCTCAAAGGCAGTTCAATCTTTTGTCTTGCCCATTCAGCCTGAATGGCACACATACACAATTAATGTTTCAATTGTCTCAAGGCTTAAAAAAATCCTTCTTTAACCAATCTCCTCCCCTTCATCTACACTGCTTGAAGTGGATTTAACAAGTGACATCATTAAGGGATCATAGCGATCACCTTGATTCACCTGGTCAATCTGTCATGGAAGAAGCAGGTGTTCCTAATGTTTCATGTACTCAGTGTATAAACCATCAATTTAGTGAATACCATTGGTGTTTAATGAGGGTTTCAGCATGAAATCCTTTTTATTTTACCATGTCAATATGTCTCGGTTGTAAATGTTTTGGCGCCAAACTGGTGGCAGTTGTGAAAAGTAAATAGCTGCAGAGTTAATTGAAAATAATCTCATTGTTAATTAGATGCTTTTTTTCATTAATTAGGCTATTTTCTTTTGAAACATCTGGTCCATGCACTATAAACTCAGACAATAATATGATATAATAAAAAATATATATAAAATATGGACACGCCCCTTGACTTTTGTTGTGTTATAGCCTGAATTTAAAAATGGATTAAATTAAGATTTTTAGTCACCGACCTACACACAATGTCAAAGTGGAATTATGTTTTTCAAACTTTTTACAAATTAATAAATGAAAAAAGTTGAAATGTCTTGAGTCAATAACTATTCAACCCCTTTGTTATGACAAGCCTAAATAAGTTCAGGAGTTTAAAAAAATTGCTAGCTAACCAACAACTCTAACGATGTATTTGAGAGACAAAAAGTGCTCATTGTACAAATATATTTATGTCGGTCAATAAACATTGAGACAAAATATAGTTTACATGATGTCAACAGTCTAAGCCAAACACGTCTGTTTTCCCCCATTGTTGCGCACGCGTCAGTTTTGTTGCTAAACAACCCATCTATGTTAACTCTGATTGTGTCCGATGAAACAGATCTTTCAAACGTTTTATGCAACATTAACGGCAAGTGACTTGACGCGAGGCCTACTGTGCCAAAGCGATTTAGAGTTGTTAAAACGGGAGTGGTGAGTGTGTTGATATAACGGTAATATCAACATTCCTCTTAACTAACAGAATTGGTTAGAAAAAGGCTATGCATGCCAACATATTAGCCAAGAATTAAGATGTGTCTAATCAGAGCCAGACCGGAGCCTGTCTGCCCACACTCATCGCGTGCTCCCCCCGCAGCTCACCAGCTGATGTACACTGAAAAATATAAAATGCAACATGTAAAGTGTTGGTCCCATGTTTCATGAGCTGAAATAAAAAGATCCCAGAAATGTACCATACACACACATATTTTTTTGTTGGTCAAATTCTGTGCACAAATTGTTTATATCCCTGTTAGTGAACATTTCTCCTTTGCCAAGATGTTCCATCCACCTGACAGGTGTGGCATATCAAGATACTGATCAAACAGCATGATCATTACACAGGTGCACCTTGTGCTTGGGACAATAAACGTTTTTTCACAACACAATGTCACAGATGTCTTAAGTTTTGAGGGAGTGTGCAAATGGTATGCTGACTGCAGGAATGTCCACCAGAGCGGTTTCCAGATAATTTAATGTTAATTTCTCTACCATAAGCTGCCTATCGTTTTAGAGAATTTGGCAGTACGTCCAAACGGCTTCACAACCACAGACCATGCCAGCCCAGGACCTCCACATCCGGCTTCATCACCTGCGGGATGGTCTGAAACCAGCCCCCGGAACAGCTGATGAAACTTAGAATGTCTCAGGGAAGCTCATCTGTGTGCTCGTCGTCCTCACAAGGGTCTTGAAAATGTCCCAGTTCTTCATTGGCCTGCTTAGGTCACCAGACATGTCACCCATTGAGCATGTTTGGGATGCTCTGGATCAACGTGTACGACAGCATGTTCCAGTTCCTGCCAATATCCAGCAACTTCACACAGTCATTGAAGAGGAGTGGGACAACATTCCAGAGACCACAATCAACAGCCTGATCATCTCTATGAGAAGGAGATGTCACGCTGCATGAGGCAAAATGGTGGTCACACCAGATACTGACTGGTTTTCAGATCCACGTCCCTACCTTTTATTTAAGGTATCTGTGACCAACAGATGCACATCTGTATTCCCAGTCATGTGAAATCCATAGATTAGGGACTAATGAATTTATTTAAATTGACTGATTTTCTTATATGAACTGTAACACAGTAAAACCGTTGAAATTGTTGCGTTTATATTTTTGCTCAGTGTATACAGTTCATTCGGAAAGTATTCAGACCCCTTGACTTTTTCCACATTTTGTTACATTCAGACCCCCCCTCCCCCCTAAAAAAACTTTGAGTACAATCATCTGGGAAACGCTTCAAGGCCTCTTCTTTGGACCGAGTGATCAATTATGCATCCATGATACCGCTTCCAAATGAGCCATTGATGATTAAGAGAAAGGCACAAAAATACCAGGGCAGTTTGCTTCAAAATATTGACCAATTTGTCAACTGGCAAAAGTTCTGACAGTGCTGTGAAGATTGCCAGCCCCAGCGGGTTTATTCTGCACTGACAGTACTGTTCTGTAAGGTTCAGAGTGCCAAGCGCTGCTGTCCATGGTCTAGAAAATATCCTTTGCCATGGGCCGTGCATCCGCCATTGTCCAGACTGAATAGCTATGGATTAAAGCAACTTCAATTTCCCCCTGCAGCTTCACCAGGTAAATCATTTCACAAATTTCCTGCAGATAGATTAGATTCACAAATTTTTCATCTACAGTGAGAGAAAAAAGTATTGGATCCCCTGCTGATTTTGTACGTTTGCCCACTGACAAAGAAATGATCAGTCTATAATTTTAAATGGTAGGTTTATTTGAACAGTGAGAGACTGAATAAATAAAAAAAATCCAGAAAAAAGCATGTCAAAAATGTTATTAATTGATTTGCATTTTAATGAGGGAAATAAGTATTTGACCCCTCTGCAAAACATGACTTAGTACTTGGTGGCAAAACCCTTGTTGGCAATCACAGAGGTCAGATGTTTCTTGTAGTTGGCCACCAGGTTTGCACACATCTCAGGAGGGATTTTGTTCCACTCCTCTTTGCAGATCTTCTCCAAGTCATTAAGGTTTCGAGGCTGACGTTTGGCAACTCGAACCTTCAGCTCCCTCCACAGATTTTCTATGGGATTAAGGTCTGGAGACTGGCTAGGCCACTCCAGGACCTTAATGTGCTTCTTCTTGAGCCACTCCTTTGTTGCCTTGGCCGTGTGTTTTGGGTCATTGTCATGCTGGAATACCCATCCACGACCCATTTTCAATGCCCTAGCTGAAGGAAGGAGGTTCTCACCCAAGATTTGACGGTACATGGCCCCGTCCATCGTCCCTTTCATGCGGTGAAGTTGTCCTGTCCCCTTAGCAGAAAAACACCCCCAAAGCATAATGTTTCCACCTCCATGTTTGACGGTGGGGATGGTGTTCTTGGGGTCATAGGCAGCATTCCTCCTCCTCCAAACACGGCGAGTTGAGTTGATGCCAAAGAGCTCA